TTACTGTAAGTCAATATATCATCAAAGTAAACAACAAAGAACTTCTCAAATATGATGGTGGAGGACATGTGTCATGACATTCATGAAGGTACTAGAGGCATTATTCAATCCAAAAGACATGACCAACCACTCAAATAATGCGTCTCGGGTCTTAAAAGTTGTTTCCACTCATCGCCAGATCTAATGTGCATTTGATGGTACTCACTATGTAAGGTTATTTTGGAAAAGCAACAAGATCTTGCTAGCATATCTAACATATCCTCAAGACATGGAATTGGAAATAAATATTTAATAGTGATAATGTTAATGGCTCAATTGTCCACATGCAATCTCTATTTTCATCGTTTTCAGGGGTGAGAAGGGTGGGAATAACATATCCTCAAGGACTAAGACTGGGTCAAACAAATTCTTTTTCAAGAGATCTTCCACTTTTCTATTTAATTGAACACACTCTTTTGGATTGATCCTAAAATGTGGAAGGCTAGGAAGCTGGGATTCAGGAACAAGATCAATAGCATGTGGGATTTTTTGTCATAGGAGGTAATTCATCTGGTAGTTCATCAGAAATGATATCAAAAAACTTTTCCAACTATTATATAATTTCATGAGGCTCCCCTATGCTAGCACATTAACTTTTGAGGAAGCATGTGGAGCTACCACAACAATCCAACGTTAACTATCCACTATTTCTTTCTCAAACTCCTTTTGGTTTAAAAGATACAACTTGATAGAAATAGGTTGGGACACTGGATTAACCTCTTTACTTGTGTCCATCAGTTTAGTTGGTTTGAGGATAATGTTTTTGCCTAGTATTTGAAGACGTAGGTTTTTCCCCCTGCCATGATGAATCACATCTCGATCATATAATCATAATCTTCCTAATAACACATGGGCCACGTCAATGGGTAAGAAATCACAATAAATCTCATCAAATAATCACTCATTTGAATTGGTAGCAATCATCTTTGGGTAACACGTAGGGTCGTTTTGTTTAACCAAGCTGCCTTAAAAGGGTAAGGTAGATACTACATTCATGGTACTACCACCATCAATAACTAGTGTGCACAATCTGGGTCTACATTTTATTAAATGAAAATTCTAGTCCACTTCCATTTATCATTGTCTTCCACCTGAGACAACACACATCTTTCAATGTTAGCATGATGTGCAATAACCTCTAGAGCATCATCTTCTCCGTCACGTGAGTATTCTGTAGGATCGATTATTTGGTTCTCGTATTCAAGTGGGACATAGTATTCTTGTCCTAAGTTACTGGTACGTGAGTACAACGAGAGGCAATATGTCCTTGCTGTTGACAATTATGACATGGGATACACGACTCACGAGTTTCTGTAGAAGAGTCCCTAGGACGAGGAATCATAGAATTTGTGGCTGTAAGGTGAGGGTTGGAGATACTAGCTTTATCATTCCTATGAATGCCGACTCGTATCATTGATCGAGTTAGTCGTGGTTCTTGGTAGTTTGTACGGTGGACTACAGGATTCCTACTGTACTTCTCAACTTCTAAAGCTCTAATATGTGCATCTTCCAAAGAATCAGGGGAGTAGTACTTTCTTAAGGTCTGCCCTAAGTCCATTGATAAATCTAGTAACAGCAAGTAGGGTTCTTATTCAAGGCCACACCTAAGAAGTAATTCTTTAAACCTACACATGGAAGGTGGGGAATGGAGAAAAAGTGAGGTTCTGGCAGGATGAATTGGTGGGGATTTTCAAAATGAAAAACAGATTCCTTAATATCTACAATATTGCTAGTGAGAGGGATATTACAGTGGATAAAGTGTATGAGAATGTTGGTGGGGTAGGGGGTGGGGTGTACAGGTTAGAAGGAACTTGCAGGATTGAGAAATTGATGAATTTTGTAATTTACTCAATGTGCTGGCAGAAATTAACTTGGATAATCAGAAGGATAGAAGGATATGGAAGTTGGATGAGAAGAATGGATTTTCGGCGAAGTCCTATTACAATTTGATAATCAACAAGGACAACTGGAATAACATGACACCACCACTTAGACAAATCTGGAAAGCTGCTGCCCCCCTAGAATGACTTTTTTTGCTTGGGAAGTCTCAAGAGAAAGTATTTTGACTATTGACATGTTAAAGAGGCGGGAAAACATTCTTGTTAATCGGTGTTTCTTATGCAAGGCTAATAAGGAGACATATGACCATATCTTATTATTTTGTCCGGTTACTCATAGCTTATGAATGTCGGTGTTCGGGTTGATGGGAATGAGATGGGCTATGGTAGGTAATGTAAGTAAGAAACTATAGGCTTGGGCTGGTCTTTGTAAAAAGAAAAAAACATTTATTTTTTATTTCACTTACTATTTTTTGGGTGGTATGAAAGGAAAGGAATGCTAGAGCTTTTAAGAGAATAGAAACGGACTTTGTAAACATTAAGAAAGGATGGTTTCATACTTTTGGATCCACTTTACTGGGTCATGACATATTACATTGTGAGGACTTGGGGTGCGTCATTGACCACTTAATTGATATGTAAGTAATCTATGTAACTGGATGGTATTCCCTTAGTACTTATGTGAATGATAACACTTTCATCTTTTATTTCAAATTTTTTTTTTTAAACCTACACATGTGATTAATCACTCACAGTAGGAGTCCACTGTTTAAGATTAAGTAATTGGTCAACCAATTGTCTCCTGCAGTAGGTTGGTAAATACTTTTCTTTGAGCTTTGTTTCATCGTACTCCATTGAGTTATGAGGGGCCCCTCTAAGCACTCACAATTGAGTTGGACAACTTGCCAAAAACTTTCTAGCTGACCCACTTAATTTCATCTTAGCAAATCAGACTCTTTCTATGTCTATCATCTCATACCATTTAAAATAATCCTCCATACTGACTAGCCAATCTAGGAGATATGAGGATATAGTTTACCATCATAGCTAGCAATATCTCTCTTGACTCGCTTGGTAATGTCAGAGATCTTTTCACTCTCGTGTTTAGATTGTTGGTGATTCTTTCCTCCCCTAAAGTCGGAATGGGATTGTCTAGTTTGTTGAGAATGCCTAGGCTTATCTCTAGGTTGATTGATTTTATCCTCATCATGGCCTGACGCATACAGATGAAGGTCATGGTGAGAGTCTTTTCTAAGCTTTAAGGGCTGACCCATTCATTTAATCTCGTACTGGGAGAAATTAGCTTGAACATATGAATGTTAATGGCCCCATGCTTGAACAGATAAATGTTCATGTGCCCCATGCTTTTTAAGAGGGAACTCTAGATTCTCATCAATTGTGAATTTGCTTTTTTCTAATATTTGAATTTTGTTACTTAGTTCCATGACAACTAATTTTAAGGTCTCAATATCATTAGATTTTCCTGTCATGATTTAAATAAGGTGAATGAAAGAAGGATGACCAGAAAAGATGATGCCAAACAAAATGTAAGAAAGTACTGAGAAAACTATAGTTGCTGAAAGTAATAATGCTATTAACTGTTAAGAATGCACAATAAGGCTCAAGATTTTTTTTAAATACATGTTAATGTGTGTGTTATTTTATTTCTTTTTTAATTTTCAGATGAAGGTACGACTATGAGAAATATAGGTATAATGCAAGGGTTTTATTTGTATATTTGAAGGAGTAGATTTGCCTAGTCAATTTGAAATATTAATCTAGTTTCAATGTAGAAAATCTTACTTGTATGAAGAAACTTCAAGCATAATCTGTCCCAAGTTCTCCAACAAAATTGCAGAAGCTAATGCCAAAAATTTTGGGAAGAATAAATCTACAAAAATTTAATAAACAGCTCCAAAAGTGCCTTAGATCCTTACACAGCTTGCTGGTGGTGCAGTGGGCAGTAGGTTTGTGTTGAGAAATTTGGAAAACATGATGTATGATTTTAAGCTCTGATACCAATTTATATGGGCCAACGAGAATTTGAAGATAAAATTTAAGGAAATTTTATAACGAACAAACCTTGGAGATCTTGAATCTCAATAATTAAGACAATATCATAATATTTGAATAATAATTATGAGTAGTCTACTTAATAACTAAGTTAAGGTACCTTATTTATAGGTACCAAAATGCATAAAAAATAGGAAATCTAGAAAATCTAGTAAAAATGAGAAAATAAGTTAAATAGAAGAAAGCTAGGAAAACTTTCTATTTCTTTTTATTGTAAAAAAAGGAAATCTAAGATAGGAAAATAAATTGAAGTGGAAGGAATTAGGAAATTAGGAAATCTTTCTGTTTACTTTTATTATAAAACTTTCCAAAACTTTGTTTCTATTATAAAAGAAAATTAAAATTTCTTATTTCTTCTAGTGAAGAAAAAGGTAAATTAACATTTCCTATCATGTTTAGTGTAAAATTTCCAAAAACGATTATTCTCCTTTATTGGTTCTACATCACCAAATTTTGTATCCTTCTACAAGCTCAAAACTTTGTGTTTTGATGTAACAGAGGTACAGAACTTGAAATACAAGATTGTCGTCGATGGATCCGGAGCAAGATTCAAGTAAGAGGAGCCACGCCATTTGAATTTGTACCAACAGTTACACCTTACAATCCTTCTGAACCTGTTTCAGATGCATATGTTACTGGTAATACTGAAGAAGTAGTGAAGTGTCACCCTTCAAATGTTTAGTTGTTGTCTTGTTGCTCTATCCTCTTGTTTATTACATGATGTGATGCATATCCTCTTAAGCATGTTCAGTAGAGTAGAGGCGAAAGTTGAGATGTGTTTAGCTGTTCTTCATTATGGCTCTCCCATTTTTATAGGGTTTTCATTAAGCAGCACTTTACAAAACAAGAGGACTCTTAGGCTTTCCCAGATTTGACAGGGCTGGCAAAGCCAGAAGCTTTTCTGAATATCATGGAAATTTATTCACTTTTTGCTTACCACTCTTAACTGTAATGTGATAGGTTTCAATCAAAGCTGTAAATTTGTGAAATAAGTTTTCTGCTTAGGGTGAGAAGTAACCACGAAAATTTGTTCATGAATGACCGACTTCATTTCTGCCAAATGCTAGGATATATATACAGAAGAAAATAGTAGACTCATCCAGGAAAAAAACATAGCTCTACTTCCATGTTTTCCTGCATGCGCATTCATCAGCCGCACGTTCCAGTAGTTCTGGTGCTCTAAGTTCTTCTATGCGCATGTTCAGCAGTTCATCTCTTTCGTGTGCACAGATGTTCAAGTAGTTCCATTATCCTCTCCTTAGTGTGCTCATTCAAGCGGTCCTGTGTCTCCCTCATGCGCATGTTTAAACCACTTCATGCATGTTCAGCAGTTTCCTTTTCCTTTGTGTACACACACATTCAAGGCAGTTTCATTCTCTTTAAAGCTATTCTCTTCAGTTCCATAAATCTAGGATTCTTAATGGCACACGTTGGAATTTTCTAGGCTTATCAATGCTCCCCCTGTAAAAGGAACCTTGTCCTCAAGGTTTAATTTGATAAACTTCTGTTGTAGTTTTTGAGCGTTTTCCCAAATGACATCCTCTACTAGAAGTTGTTTCCATTTGACCAGATTTTCTTCAACAAACTTTCTGCATATAAGGTTGATTCACGGCCTTTGCTTTGTATTATCTCATGTTTGAGCTTGTGTAGTAAATAAAGCAGCAAGACAGGCTGCCAGCCACTCTTGAAAATGTATCTGCAACTGAATTTTCTTTACCAGGCTTGTAGATAATCTCATATTAAAACGCAACTAACTTGGACACCCATTTCTGTTGTTTTGGAGTGTTAATCCATTGCTTTTAAAGATATTTAAAGCTACGGTGATCTGTCTAAATGAAAAATGTTCGGCCCATCAAATAGGGTCTCCAAGTGTGGACAGCTACAACAATAATTAGTGTTTCCCTAGCATACGTCAACCATGATATTTTTGACATGCTCAAGGCTCGACTCATGTAAGCTACGGGCTTTCCCTATTAAGTAAGGACTGCTCCAATTCCATCAACAAAAACGTAAGTCTAAATAACAATTGATTCATCAAACTTAGGCAATGCCAGCGTACGTGTGGATGTCATGGCTTGTTTGAGGCTTTCAAAATCAGTTTTGGCTTTCTGCATTCCAACCGAACTGTCCATTTTTAAGTAAAGTGGTGAATGGTTGAGCCAAAATCCCATAATTGCCGACAAACTTCTTAACCTGTAAGTCCTAAGAATTCACTCAACTCTGTGATATTAATAGGTCTTGGCCAGTGTAGCATTCTTTGTATTTTTTCTTGGTCCACTTTTACTTTTTTAGGAGTAATAATATGACCTAAGTATTCTAGTTCTTATTAGCCAAATTCGCATTTCTTAAATTTGATAGAAAATTTGTGCTGCCTTAAAATTTGAAAAGCTTGTCGTACGTGTTCAAGATTCATGACCCAATTAGGGGTATAAATCAAGATGTCGTCAAAGGACAGTAACACAAATTTGTGAAGATATGGATAAAATATAGAATTTATGATAGCTTGAAAAGTAGAGAGGGCGTTACAAAGACCAAAAAGCATTACTAGATACTCATAATGACCTGGGTACGAAATGCAATTTTACGAATATCAAATGGATGTACTCGAACCTGATGGTAACCGACCGTTGGATCTCATTTGGTGAAGAAGGCCGCCCATGTAACTCATCAAGCATGTCATCCATGGTAGGAATTAGAAACCGATCTTTTATGGCCACTGCATTGAGAGTGTAGAAAATGTTAGAATAAGGGTAGTTACTCTTTTTAGACAGACGGAATGTCCACCATCACCACGAGAAATTGGTTACGTTTGTTGCTTATTTTTCATTTTTCTATTTTTTCTCACACCCTCACATTTGGTGTGACATTAGGGCAATGAGTGCCTATAAATGACACCTCACCCTCTCTGTTTTAAGCAAGCAAGAAAGAAGAGAAGAATCTCTCATTTTATCTCTCTCAAACTCTGATTCTACTAAAATCTTCATGGTATCAGAGCGCCTCTGATCCAGAAATCTCCTTCCGCTTGCGCCAGATTCTTCAATGGCCACGGATTACCGAAACTCTCTATCACCTGAAGTTATTTCGGGTACGATCTCCCCAACTCCATCAACACTGGAATGGTGGAGCAACATTCATCGTTCATCACCAGCCATCGACTCAATGGCGATAATTACCTCCAATTGTCAACGTTTGTGCGACTATTCATTCGAGGGAAAGGACGCGATGAATATCTCACGAGAGAAGCTCCAGAACCTCCATCGAATGACCTATATGCTCGAACTTAGAAAATCGACAACAACATGGTAATGTCCTGATTGCTAAGCTCTATAACTTCCGAAATCAGTGAAAATTTCCTCTTGTACGAGACAACTCACGAAGTTTGGGAAGTTACTCGTGAGTTTTACTGCAGCCGCGAAAATATCTCAGTAATTTTTCGAAGTCGAATCCACCATTTACGAGGTGCTGCAAGGTGAGCTGAACGTTACTTAATATTATCTCTCTCACCCGCAACTGGCAGCAGCTCGACGTCTTTGAAGATCATCAATGGAGCTGTCCAGAAGATGTTAAGAAATACTGAGAAATTGTGGAGTAGAAAAGAATTTTTCGGTTTCTCATGGGGCTCAACAAAAGCCTGGATGAAGTGTGGGGCCGAGTTCTAAGCATGAAATCACTGATGGGTATTTGTGAGGTCTTCTCTAAAGTTCGATGAGAAGAAAGCACGAAGAAATTGATGTTGGGAGAACCTCAGTCGACTCAGCTGAGTGAGAATGCTTCTGCTCTTACTTCTCGCGTCTCTAATTCTTGTGGAAAGAAAGGATTGTCCGTTTTGTGAGTTCTGCGAAAAGCCAGGGCACGTTCGTGAGAAGTGCTAGAAGCTTCATGGGAAAACAAGAGAGAAGAGGATCACTGAGACACCTCACAGAAACTTGGCGATTTCGGAAGAGCCCTCTGTTTAGCCCGAGAGTGCTCCCTTCAGTTCAGAACAAATGGAGGCACTGGTGAAACTTTTTCCGTCGAAAATGGGAAGTCTGGGTAATTCCTCTGCCTCTGTTGCCCAAAAAGGTAAATACCCATTTGGTTTATTAGCATGGTTCCATAAAAAACAGATTTTGATTATGGATTCTGGGGCATTTGACCATATGACAAGAAAGTAGTCATTGCTCGGTGATTATCTTAAATGTAAGGAAGATTTATTAATTAAGATTACTGATGGTTCAAGTTCTAGAGTGACAGGAATTAGCTCCATAAAAATATCATCCTGCTTGACACTCAATTCAGTTTTTTATGTGCTTAATTTGGATTGCAATCTATTGTCCATAAGTAAATTGTGTAAAGACATGAATTGTATGGTGAAATTTGACAATCATTCTTGTGTATTTTAGGACTTGGTTTCGGAAAAAATGATTGGCTATGTTAGGATGGATTCAGGTCTCTACTATCTTGCAGTTGACCTACGTACATCAAGTACACTAGCTTCTAATGCTGTATGTGTAGTCGGTTTCTATAGATGTCAAATGATGATCACACAGTTTGTTATAACATTATCGATTAAGCCATCCAAACTTTTGTACTTAAAGTAATTATTTCGTACTTTATTCAAAAATAAAAATTCACTTTCATTTCAATGTAAAGTGTGCCAATTTTCAAAATACATTTGCAATTCTTTTCTAGTATCCATATAAACCCACACAACCATTTGCTTTAATCCATAGTGATGTTCGGGGACCTTCACGAGTCAAAACTATTATTGAGAAAAAATTGTTTATATCTTTTATTGATAACCATACTAGAATTACCTGAATCTTTCTTATGAGAGAAAAGTCTGAAATGACCCAAATATTTCAGATGTTTAATATTATTATTCAAAACCAGTTTTATACCACAATAGAGATACTGAAAACCGATAATGCATGTGAATACTTTGAATCCACCCTAGGAGAATATCTTAATAATCAAGGTATCCTCCATCAAAGCTCTTGTGTATACACCCGACAACAAAATGATATAGCCGAACGAAAAAATAAACACATTTTTTAAGTTGCCAGATCATTGATGTTTACAACCCATGTTCCTAAATTTTTGTGAGGTGAAGCCATTCTTACTGCTACCTACTTGATCAATCGAATGCCCACTCGGATATTAAATTTCAAAACTTCTTATAAACCTCTCCTTCAGGCATTTTCAAAATTTCATGTTTTAAACACTATCCCATTGAATATATGTGGCTGCACCGCTTATGTTCACATTCAAACTCACCTCAGGGGGAAACTTGATCCAAGGGCTCTTAATTGTGTGTTTGTTGGTTATTCCTCAAATAAAAAAGGATATAAATATTTTTTCCCAGTTACTCATCGTTTTTACAATACTACGGAGGTAACCTTTTTTGAGAATTAACTATTTTATCTCACAACTAATATTCAGAGGAAGAATTTCACTCAAGAATATTAGTTATAGGATATAAGCCCTCTTCCACCTCAAATCCCGTTGACATCTTCCCAGAATATTCATATCTAGGAAACCACAGAAAACCCAGAACCCACTACAGATACTAATGACATAGATATTGATGGCACATTACCTGTAAAAAGTAAGTTACGAGTCTATAAAATGAGAAATAAGACTCAAGATAGTAGAATTCCTGAATCAACCACGCAAAGTCATGAGTCAACTCCTGGACCGAGCACTCATAATACTACAGGTAATGAAATTTATGACTCAGTGGTTAATATTGACACTAATGCTGAACTTCCTATTGTTTTGAGAAAAGGTGTCCGGTCTTGCACCATGCATCCTATACAAGATTATGTGTCATATGACAAGTTGTCTCCTACATATAATGCACTTGTTAGTAAGTTCGATAACAATATTGTCCCAGGAATTGTTCATAAGGCACTTGAGTCTCAGAATGGAAAGCCGCAATCCAAGAAGAGATCACAACGCTTGAGAAGAATGAGACATGAGAATTATCTGATCTACTTTAAGGGAAAAAGCCTATAGAGTGCAAATGGATCTTCACCACAAAGTATAATTATGATGGAACTGTGAGTTGTCATAAAACTCGTCTTGTTGCCAAAGGCTTCATTCAGTCATATGGGATTGACTATCAGGAAACTTTTGCCCCAATTGCTAAATATAACACAATACGGGTTTTATTCTCCTTGGCCTCAAATCTTGATTGGCCTCTTCATCAACTGGATGTAAAGAATGCTTTCCTCAATGGAGATCTAGAAGAAGAAGTTTACATAGAAGTCTTTCTTGGACTTAGCATTGGGTCTAAGAAGGTATGCAGATTAAAAAAGGATTTCTACGGTCTTAAGCAGTCTCCGAGGGTATGGTTTGAGAGATTCTCCAAGAGCAGTGAAACAGATGGGATATATTTAGTGTCAGTTTGTCACACTTTTTGCCAAAAGCAGTGCCACGGGGAAAAAATCTATCATAATTGTATATATTGATGACATTATCTCAACAGGTGATAATGATGAAGAAATTCTGGAACTCAAAAAGTTTCTAACCAAAGAATTCGAGATCAAAGAACTTGGGTTGCTTCGATACTTTCTTGGGATGAAAGTAGCTTGATCTAAGAAAGGTATCTCTGTTTCACAACGCAAATATGTTTTACATCTTTTAAAGGAAACAAGTATGCTTGGTTGTAAACTTGTAGGAACACCGATGGAGTCCAATGTCAAAATTGGTCTAAAAAATGATAACAAACCTGTTGATAAAGAGAGAAACCAGAGACTTATTGGCAAACTTGCTCATACCATACTTGATATCAGTTTTGCTGTGAACACTGTAAGTCAGTTTATGGCTGAACAAACTGAAGAACATATGAGTGTCATTTACCGGATTCTGAGGTACTTAAAGATGACCCTTGATCAGGGGTTGTTCTTCTAGAAAACAATAAATAGAGACATTGAGATCTTCACTGATACTGATTGGACAGGATCAGTGACTGATAAAAGATCAATAACTGGCTATTGTACATATGTGTGGGGCAACCTAATCACTTGGCGAAATAAGAAACAGTCAGTTGTATCTAAAAGTAGTGCTGAAGTTGAATTGAGGTCTCTTGCTCATGGAATATATGAAGGTGTATGGCTGAAGAAGATTCTATCTAAACTAAGCTTTTGTATTTCTAATCCTATGAAACACTGGTGTGACAATTAATCAACCATCAGTATGACCAAAAATCCAGTGCATCATGATAGAACTAAGCATGTGGAGATTGATCGTCATTGCATTAAAGAAAAAATAGAAGACAAGACCATTACCCTATACTATGTTTCTACTGATCTTCAGACTGCTGATATTCTTATAAAGGCACTACCAACAGAAAAATTTAATAACATTGTATCCAATCTAAGATTACTCAATATATATGTAACATAGATTGAGGAGTGTAGAAAATGTTAGAATAAGGGTAGTTTAGTATTTACTCTTTCTGAACAGGTGGAATTTCCACCATCACCACGAGAAATTGGTTACGTTTGTTGTTTATTTTTTCTTTTTCTATTTTTTTCTCACACCCTCACTTTTGATGTGACATCAAGGCAATGAGTACCTATAAATGGCACCTCACCCTCTCTGTTTTAAGCACACAAGAAAGAAGAGAAGAACCTCTCATTTTATCTTTCTCAAACTCTGCTTCCATTAAAATCTTCAGATAGCTCTATGATCAGTGCAAAAACATCATGTACTATCTTTTTTTTTTAACCAATAAGAAAGAAGATGGAAAGGGACTAGTACTGGATTGAATAAGGCTCAGGTTTAATATGTCATGAACTTGTTTTTTAGTTTCAGCCTTTGAAAATTTATCTAAAAAAATCAGTCTTTTTAAAATAGGCATACTTCTTTTCTTCCTTGCAATTTTCATCTCTTTCAAAAACTTTTTTTTTTCTCTTTCAAAAAAAAAAAGGCATACTTGTAGGGTCTCACACTGATAGACTCAGTTCCTTCTTTAAGATTGATGTGGTGGTCAATTTCTCTTACTGAAGGTATTTGTTTTGACTCTTGAAAAATGTCTCTGAAATCCTGCAGCAATTGTTGTATATCTGATGCAATTTTTTTCGACAAAATTCTTGTCTCACTTAGCATACAAACAGCAAACATAGAATATCCTCTGCATAATTCTTTTGTCACCACCTTTATAGACGCCAGTTTAATGGGCTAAGTACCTATTCCTTGCAACTTCTGGACTTGATTATTCCATCAAAATTCCATTATCATTTTGTTTTAATCACAAGTCACTATTTCCAATTGCTCTAACTATTGGACTCTAACACCACATCCAACCCACTCAAGGTAGAGTATAAAAAGTAAGGGTGAATGGATTACCTCGGAACAAAATATGGATGTTTCTGAATCTTCCTTAGCACTTCATTAGCTTCTCATTTGCAAACTTTCACATTGAATGACTTGGTTGGTATTACTGGAAGTTGCAGTCCATTAGCAATGCGTTCACTTATGAAATTATAGGTAGATTAGCTGTCAATAAGGACCGGTAATTCTTGATTCCTAATCTTGACTATGATCCTCATGGTTCTGGATGTTGACTATCCCGTGAGAGCATGTAGAGATATTTTCGATCCATCAGCCCATTTCTTCTTCATTTATACTGTCGTCTCTTCCAGAAGTAAGAGTTGAGGTCTCTGGTATTTGTGAGCTTTCTCATCACAATTAAAACAGAGGTCTTGAGCTCGTCATTGTTGGATTTCATCCCAGGTAAGACGTTTCACGTGAGCGGCAATTGTTGTGTTTGTTTGGGAGACCAAGTTGGATTGTTCATGATTCACTCTTACTAGCCTTTTGAACTTCCACTGGCGCAAAAGTTGATCATCCTACATTCGTGCTAAGCTTACAGCTTCCTTCAGTGACTTGGGTTTGAACACTAGGATTCCTTTCGCAATTTCCTATTTAAGGCCTCCCATAAATGTTCCCACTAAAGTCCCTTGTGTCCAGCCTTGCACTTGATTCCCTAGCTTCTCAAAATCTTTATGGTAGTCTCGCAAGGAACCCACCTGGTTCACTTTTGATAATGCTTCATCAAAGTCTTCATTCTCTGTTGGTCCAAACCGAGCCCATAGTTCTTCCTCAAAAACTGCCCATGTCACTTCCCTTCCTTCTTCTTGTAAGCGTAGCGGCGTAACCACTCCACCATTGATTTGCTTCGCCTTCAAGATGGAATGAAGTCAATGGTACTTCTTGAACTCGGTCGTGCCTTGGTACTCAAATAATTGTTCCACTCTGTTGAACCATTCAATAGGGTCATCTCCTGCGTATTATAGAAACTCAAGCTTTGCCAATTTGGATGGAAATGTGTGTCTCCCCTCATCCATTTTCTCTATGAATTTCTCTCGGTTGTGGCGAGAATTGAGCATTATGGTTGTTGGTGTTGCTGCTCAACCCTTCTTTGTTTGACAGCAGAGCTTCCGTGAGCTTGTTGAGAGTGTCTTCCATTTTATGAAACTTATCGGCAATGCCAAGCTCCACCTGACTCACACTGTCTTGAAGTCCTCCTAGGTCCACTCTTCAATTTGTTCCTTATTGGTTGCCATTATGAAACTAGCTCTGATACCAGTGATAGGTACCGATCAAAGCTGTAAATTTGTGAAATAAGTTTTCTGCTTAGGGAGAGAATAATCACGAAAATTTGTTCATGAATGGTGACTTCATTGCTGCCAAATGCTAGGATATACATACAGAAGAAAATAACAGACTCATCCGGAAAAGAACATAGCATTGCTTCTATGTTTTCCTCGATGCATGTTCAGCCACCCATCCCAGCAGTTCCGGTTCTCCATGTTCTGTTGTGCGCATGTTCAGCAGTTCCTCTCCTTTGTGTGCACGCATGTTCAAGAAGTTCCATTGTCCTCTTCTTCACATGCATGTTCAAGCAGTCCCGTGTTCTCCTTCGTGCGTATGTTCAAGGTCTGCTTCATGCATGTTCAAGCAGTTTCCTTTTCCTTCATGTGCACACATATTCAAGGTGTTCTATTCTCCTTCAAAGCAGTTCCTTCCAGTTCCATAAGTCTAGGATTCTTAAGGGCACACGTTGGGTTCTTCGAGCCTTATCATAATAAAAAGGAAATATTCTGTTTGAAATTTAATTCAGTTTTAGCCTAACAAATGCAGTCTAATAATTATATAAATTAGTAGGGAAGTTGCATTGTAGTTTTAGGCTGGCAACTTAAATTGTTTGTCTTTATATATTTATCATTTTTATTGGTTTCTGATATGTAGGATATCTATTTGCAGTTAAATAGACAAAGCTCTAGAAAATGTATCAGAACATTATCTGGATTTTTATCTCTCTGCCAAACCTTTGCAGAAAATCATCGAAATCCTCAGACAGAGTCTTTGTTGCAATTTCTGGAGCTTCCATACGTTCTTAATAGCACATCAGAAGCAAGGGAGCTTAATAATAGTCCTGGTTTGCTAACTCCAAAAGGTAAGATTTTGCAACTCTCTATCCATGGTAACTGCAGTGAACCACTCTCGGTTTTGTTTTATCTTTCTTTGACAACAAGATTTGTTTGTAAACCATTGGGAGGATTTCAGGACCAGCAACCCAGCAGTAACCAGCCACAATTAGTTTTAATTAATGTTTAATTAGTTAATCCTGGATTAGTTACAAATTTGTCCTAGGATTGTATTGGCTCTAGCAGATTTGTGTTCTTTTCTCTGCTTTTCTGCAGATTTGCTTTACTTTTCTATTATAGCTTTTGGTTGTGTTTTGTTTTACATGAGTAAGGAATGGTAAAAAAGGCAATGGAAGGCAAAATGAGAAAATAAGAAACATTTTACATAAATTTCATAACAGAATCAGCAATGATTCTCTATTTTTTCTCTACTCTCTTCTCTCCTATTATTCTTCTCTTCTTCTATTTTGCTCTTCTTTTTTCTCGACTCTAAATGTAAGCCCTAAATTTCTCTTTAACCAGATTCAGGGTCTAAAGATCCTAAAAGAGGACCATCTATCCCCTCAGCTTGATTGCTCTTGTGACAAACTAAATCTTTCTGATCGTTAAACATTAAATCTTTACTCCTCTCTCTCTCTCTCTCTCTCTTTCTCTCTTCCTTGATATGAAACCCTGGACTCTACAGTTTCTCCTTCTTGAACACTCCGCACCTCTCCTCCCTTCACTCGGCCAGACTAAAAAGAAATTCCTATGAGGCCGACCCACTTGTGGCCCCTGATGTCGAAGGATCAAAATAGAAAATTTTTCTTGATTGACAGAAAATCCTTCGACGTCGTTAGAAATGGAAGACACCTTGATGGCCTGAGAGTTTGTGAAAATGGAAACGGATTTAGGGCTTCTATCTCGCTCTTAAAACAGAGGTTAAGTGGCTCATCGACTGTCTAAGCAATTTTTACTGATATAAAGAGGGCATCACTTGGGGAAAGAAAATTATTGGAATCTCTCGCACATCTATCTGGCCCTTTGCCAGAACTGGAACGGTAGATTCCTTGTGCTTTCAGAGGAAAAGTGCAAAGCTTTCAGACGAATCTTTATCCCAGAAGTTTACCAAGCTGGTGGTTGGTGGCGGCTAATGAAATAGGTGTTTGAGCTAGCAGATGTTCCATTAGTACACCCAGAGAAAAGAGCTTTTCCCTTTAAGTTGCACCTTCCTTTTGACTCCCCTTGTAGTCTGACAATGTCTTCTAAGTCTTTGATGGTTATCTGCTGTCCTCACTGCAAACATGGCATCACTATCGAAGTTTCAGCTGACAAACGAAAAACCTATGCTGAGATGCTACAGTCAGGAGCCGTGCCAATCTCTCGAGTAGGGACGATTCAACCCGACCCGTCTATAACCAACATGGGTTTGAATTCAAATTGCCCCTTTTTCGAGCGGGCTATTGCTAGAGAAAACTCAAAGAAGCCCAGGCCCAGCATCGGTGAAAAATCAGACGCCCGGAGAAGAGAAAGTAGTTGGATTGTGCAGATGAGCTGAGCAAGAAGTGAAAAAAAGAAAAGCCCAAGCATAAAGTGGTGGTGGAGGCCCAATAGAAAATTCCCTGACTAGGCTTTTCCATCTCGTTTTGAAACATTCTTGGCCCATCTGGCGCTTCAAAAACATGCCTGGCTCGNCTCCTGTGCAGGGCTCTTGTAGTGAAGATGAACTTCTCTCAAGAACAATGGATTCGGACAACACCCACGAAATTCAGGGTACTATAAATGTAAGCATTTCGGGTGATGAAGTGAGCAACTCAGGGGAAGAAATGAACACCCTAGCCCTTGTCGATTTTGAAGATGGAAAATCTCCAGAAGGTAAGTCCAACCTTTACGCTTCCTCTAATCTGGAGCTTGTAATCTTTTTGGAGCCTATTTTAGGCAAAGTCCAGTGCTGTTTTCCAAACAGTGTTGAAAACTCCCAGGATGGGATTTCTGTTGTAGAGCAGCTAACCCATGCAGAATGTGTCACATTCGAAGGACTGGAATAGCTTGTTTTCTATCTTTTTTCTGAGGTTGAGAAGCGAGTCAATACTAAGGAGGAAGCCGCTACTGTTAAACCAAAGAAAAAACAATGGGAGGGTGGAAACAGGGAATTGAAAAGACTTCAATCATCAATCAATTATGATGCCCGAAGTAAGAAATCTGCTGGGTCGGGGGGTGAATCGTCCATACAAAGATGTTAGGGAACATCTTCTCATGGAATGTGTGGGCCTGAATGATGACAAAAAAGGGCATATATCAGAGGTTGTTTAAGTAGATGGAAGCCCATGATTGTTTGCCTCCAGGAGACCAAAATGGAAGTAATCAAAGATTCAATCATTAAGAGTCTACAGAAATATTAAAGATGCTGGTTGGTTACATCTTCCTGCCTCGGGTTCTGCCAGGGGTATGCTGATTATGTGGAGCAAAAACTGCGTTGAATGTATCAACACCTTTGTTGGTGAGATCACTGCCTCTTAAGTTTGTTAGTGATTCGCAGAAGATGGAATGGTGTTTTGAATGTATGGCTTTGTGGAAGGAATTGTCTGATTGTCAAGCTAGATGGGGAAATTTGGAGGTGGTGGGTGGTGATTTTAATATGGTTTTAAAGAGGGAGGAGCACTCTGGTAATCAATTTTCTGATTCCATTGTGAGGGAGTTCAATGAAAATTTGGATCTCTTCAACCTAACTGACATGCCTTTATCGGGTGGTTACTGGATCTGGAGCAATCAGCAAGCATCTCCTTCTTTCTCCAGAATTGATCGCTTCCTACTTGATCCATCCCTTCTTCTAAAGCTGTCGGGTTTATGTTAACAGGTACTTCCCAGATCCATTTCTATCATTTTCCTATTTATTTAGTTGATAATGGGATTTGTTGCGGTCTAATTCCATTCCGTTTTGACAATCAATGGCTAAAGGTTGAAAGCTTCAAAGATATGGTTAGGAAGGTCTAGAGTAGTGTTGATGTGTTGGGAACGGCCAATTTCAAGAATGCAT